ATTGTAATATCCTAATCTCACATCATAAGAAGAATACAATTGTAAAAGGAAAATAAGTGTTAAGGTCAACCATTGTTAACAATTTAAGTTTTAACTTTTTTGAATACCTATGGAGCTTGGCTCAAAAGAATTGTTAGGTTAGTGGCAAGCTTCATAATTCTTGTATTATTCTCAATATTTTAAAAATAAATAAGTTAATTATATTTTTTGAATATCGAATTGTAAAATTATCTATTAAAGAATATCTTATTCATGGAAATAGAAAGGTCATTCATGTGCACAGTATTGAGACTATTATTGTTGGGTTTAAAAGGATATACAAGAAACAAAAAATGAAAAAGTTAAATCTATCACCTTTCAACCAACCTAGGATCTTTATGAATCCATTGACGACTAAGAAAGGGATTATAATAAGTACTTTAACGACACATGCCTCGTTTATGCATTGGTTTAACCATGATCCTTTGATGAAGCCAATAAAGAATCCAAGTGTAGAATTTCTCTAGTGGCGATCCACACATACATTCAAGGATTCGAAGAAGATTGCATCTCAACAGTGTTGGCAATCAAAAAACCTAGTTGGATTTCTTTCAATTTTTGATAGAGCTATTTTGCTAGCCTGAACTTCCATGATGGAAGATTAATTAGGGTTTTTTTTCCTATTTTCTACTGCTATTTATATTAATGGAATAGAAGACTTATAACACCCTAAACTTTAGTGAATAGATTAGAAACTAAAGTCTTTTATTGTATAGTTTTAGGGATTAAATTAATTGGATTTAGAGTTCGAGGGTTTTAAGTAGAACTTAGTAGGAGTTGAAGGACCGTAACTCAATTATTCCAATTTTCTTTGCAAAATGTCATTATATGAAGTAAGTGGACCTAAGTTTAAAGTTTGGAGTATTTAGTGGACCCTTTGGGGTATTTAGTGGACCTTTGCACAGTAGGGCGAGTGCCGTATTTAGCTCTGATACAGGTGTTGCTACCACACATCAATAGACTCCATAATATTGTGTGATTTTTGTTTATGCATTATGCTTGTGACATCACATTTGTGAGCATATGGTTTATGATATGGATTTGATTCAAATGTCGTTGGATATTACTTGACAAGTTTGATTGATTGTGAACCATCTCATGATATTAAATTATTATTCAAATACTAAGATTTATAGTATTATGTGGCTTAGTTTAAATTGTTTGTGTGCAGGTCTAAGGGTCTTAGGACTCAAGTTTGTAGCTCTAACTTAATACCTACTAAGCTTTTAGCTAATGATATTTCCCCCTCATTTTAGATTTGTAGATTGGAGTAGCAGTCACCAGCTTGAGAGCTTCAGTTTTGGTCCTATATGCTCCTTGTACATAGAAGTTAGGACCTTAAGGCTTTTGATGTGAAGGCAATCATGTATAACCAAAACGATAATTCTGTTTTTATTATTTTGGAAAGTCTTTGAAAAGCATTTGCTTATGCATTTTTTGTGTAAATTGCCTTTATGTATTTAATCTATAATCAATGAAAAATAGGCTTAACCTAGTTTATTTTATGACTTTGAGTATTGTGATATTTTCCTTAAGGTATTTTTCATTAAATTAGTTTTCCTTTACAAGTAATTGATTTTCCTTCTGTAAAATTTTAAATTGATTTGAAAGCAAGTTTTTCTCATAATGAAACATTTTATATTAAAAGTGTTTTTACTTTCGCTGCAATCTTTTTACTATAGATATTTCCTATTGTTTTTTTATCTTGTGTAGGACATTTCCCTACTTGATAAATTAAAAGGTTTACCAAAAGGGGATGTTACAAGACTTGTCATTCTAATTGAATTAAAATTACCAAACTTAGTCTATAATTCAGCATAAAAAACCCCTCTTTTCCTTTTTTGCTTCCTTGCCACACACCTAGACTAGGAATGTTGGGGCAAGGAGTGTTGGTCATGGGCTCCTTTGCCCATTGTGCCATACATGACCTAGCCTGATGGGTTAGGGTTTCTATCTACTAATCTTCTAAGAACTTAAATATCACTTCTGGATTTTGTCTTTAATTAAATTAATTTTCTTTACCAATTTAATCTAGAACTTGATTAATTTATTTCTCATGCAAACACCACTTTCACACAAATTATTCAATATCCATAAACTTGGATTTATTTAAATCACAATTCCCAAAACGCACTAAGTTTGTGACCTTTTAGGTTTTCATCATGATGGTAATGTGAACTACTCACAAACCAAGAGTAGTATCTAACAACACATCATGGTTACCCAAAATAATAGAAATTGTCAATGAATTTGACAAACCCTCTTATGACCAATACACTTGTGTAATTCAATCCCTTCATCATTGATATCTCTATCAATTAAGATGCATGCTATATGTCATCATCCTTAAAACTTGATATATCTTTTTTTTTTATTCCTAAGATATACATATTTCTTGAATGAACCTTGATTCATGTCATGGCCACAAATTTTACTAGTCTCATCTCAATTAAAGGGCTAGAGATATCATCTCTCATCAACTCAGCAGAGATGAATCCTATCATGGTCACTCGTTACTCTCATGTAATTCATGATACATCTAATAATTGTATTACTCACAACTACTTGAAATGACTATTTTTAACAGAATTAAAATACATGAGTCTTTGTATAGAATAATGGCAATCTCATATCAAAAGATGACTTATACTCAAGTCATAGTTAAGAAGCTACTAATGACACATGCATGTAAAGTTCTCATGGTGGGTTAGCACTCACTTTAAGTAACCTACATGTAATACATGACATCATGAGAAGAAGTCTTGTCACCTAACAAGGCAACACACATGTAGTTTTTATATCATTTATGTCTTATTTTAATGATATATACTTCTAATAGATAATTTAAAGATGTTGCTATCACATTATATAATTCTCACTAATAGTGATGGCTGCTATTACCTTGTGATGTGGTGAACATCTTAAGAACTTTATCGATATTTAATATACACAAAAGAATAACAACTAATGTTAATGCTCAATAAAGAATTCCATAAATATAATGATTATAATCATAATTACGTAAGATTGTCTTATCAATCCGGTTGACTCGTAAGGCATATTTTAATAGTGCATCCCTCAATATTATTATTGATAGAATTGTATATCTACAACACATATAATGAGTAGGATTGTAGGAATGCCCTCAATATGGCACCTAAAATCATATATTGTACTCTATCATAATGATTTACAAATTAATTAGCCCTATACATTTATAAAATCACTTCTTTAGATGTGTGATGTTTGTCATGCCTTCACCTTATCTCCACATGTTTCATTAGCTCTCGTATCTATTTGTACCAGTAGCGAAGAACACCCTTAACAAAAATTAACTAACCCTAAATCTTCTCTTAAATATATTACATCTGAGTCTTTATATATTTTTATACTTATGTACTTTTATACTTATATACATATCGATTGTTTTTTTTATTGTGACTATATACTTTTTTCCATAATAATATTAGACTTTTAACATGTGAACATTAAATAACTTAAATTAATGATTCTTAATATGATATTAAATTTGACATCATATGATATTTTAAAATTATATTATATTTTAAAATACTTTTAAATTTATATGTTTTTGAAGTGCCGTATGCTAGTAAACTTTTGAAAAATAGGTTTTCTACTATGTTCGTTTCATGTAATATCCAAATTGTGTGCTCGTGTTCATGCTTCTTGGTTGTATATATGCTAGAACATTTCATTCATGGATGTAAGAGATAAGATTAATTGAACATTTCTCAGACACTTTAAAGAGCTTTCAAGTATGTACCTACCTCCGTTAGTAAAAATATGATAAAAGTATAAATTGTTATTAGTAGAATTTGAGTAATTAAGCTATGTGAAACAAAGAAGTTGATCATATTTTAACATTTGTAGCAACTTAGTTCATTGTTGGTGCAAACATTTCATGCAAGAATGTGGTGAATTCATTCATTCTTTGGGATTTTTTGGGTTTTATAATGCGATTAGGTATGATAACCCTCTTTCTCCTCTTTTTAGATAAAAAATTCACATTGCCAAACAATAAACCGAATAACAATAAAAAAGAACTTATCCCATTAAATAAGGGGTTGCTTTAGCAATGATATGGGCAATGATTAATACACTCTTTGATTCAACACACCCTACAATATATTTATTAAAAATTATTATTTTTAAATTTGAATATGAGGAAAGGAAATTTTTAACTATAGATTCTAATAGCTGAATCACTAAATATTAACAAGTATGTTAAATTAGAAGGTATACCAATTATTTTTCCAATGATAAAGTTATAATGCTAAGTTAATTTATAAGTTTACTGTAATAACGTATTATTAAATAAATAAATGTATATAATATTATAGGTAAACCTTTAAATAAGAATGAGACAAAAAACCTTTAAATAAAAAAATTAATCATATAATGATATATCTTGATTATAACATTAATAATATCATATGACATTATAATTATATCATTTTTAGATTTAGTTGGTAACAAGTGTACTTTATATAGATTCAATTTTGATGTTTTGAAAAGCTAATATAGAAAAAATTCTTCATAAATTCCTAATTTAATTGGGGATGGGGATTATTATTAAAGTAATGTAAGGTATAAAAGTAACACTTGTACACCTTAAACAAAAAAAAAAAAAAAAGAAAAGAAAAAAAGAAAAAAAAACC